GTCAGTTGCACCGTCCCACTGTGCCTCCGACCAAACACCACAATTCTCATGCCACCGCAGGGTTCATTGTTTATTTTTTGCACTTATTTTGGAGCTGGCCTTTATGGTTAAGTGCATAATTTATCTTTAAGTAGATATCGCATCTTTTTAGCAATTTTCGTTGTGGCTATGTATAATAATTTTTAGCTGATTGATGCATTGTCGCCACATAAGCCATATAGTAAAAAAACCGGCAAAGAAAGAAATTGGTGACAATCCACTTGTGTGAATATACATCAAAAATATTTATAAACGGACATCAGAGGACATATAAATGTCCGTATAAATGAACACATACCTACTTGACAGCTGATTGCAGAAATCCATTAAAGTTAATACATCTCGCCTGGCCGTAATGAAATGCAGTTAAGTTACTCGTACGTACGCGTACATAATCAGAAATATGTAAAAATCACAATTAATTACACTCCGAATGCGGATGTATCTGATATCATTTTTGCACATCAAACCTCATGCCAAAATGAAAAATATATACTTAAGCTACAAATAGCAGCAAATAGCTGCATTCGCTAAACATAAATTTCAGTTGCAGCAGCTGTAAACTATTTCAAACTCTTGAATGAAGCTGTATGGCATAGCACTTGACGCACTAAGGCTATATCACAGCAACTATTCAGATGAGATAGTTGCGTTGATTGATAAATTTAAAAAATTTATGAGCCGAGATAATGAAGTAGGAGCTGACTTGTCAGTTGCGTGCGGTGGTATGCAGGCAAACTAAAGAATTTTGAAATAATTGAATTAATTTAGATTTGATTGATATGAATTTTAAAGCGAATTGCATTCATTCTCTTGAAGCTAGAAAAGCTATTTAGTTCTAAGGACAAAAATCAGCAACTATGTCCGAAAGAATACCGTTATCTACAGATCTATTCAACCTTTCAATCAAAGAACTTTTTCTGAAATGAAATATCAGTTTTTTAAGACATTTTTTAAAAAAATATGCTTTTTAATTTAGGTGTAATATATAAGCGAAAATTCATTGAAAACTAGCTAGAACTTCAAATCTTTAAAAAGAACTAATTAATAAGCTACGAAAGAAGTAATATAGTAAGCTGATTTTGATACGCATACGCAAGCCAGATGTACGCAGTCTTTTAGATTTCAATCTACATATCGCGTACTTTAAGCCCTAAACTGATATATATTACTATAGATCTATATTCAACCTTGTATCTTAGTACAAGTATAACCCCAGTGGCACTGGGTATATTATGTCAGAGTCTAATTTTTGTTCTCAAAACTATACTCTATCATTATAAAACTGAAAAGTTTCTTATACAGTAGTGAATGCAACAACAAAATGTTATTATTTTTAATTAATTGAGTTAATTAAATTTTTATCGCTTGTACTTAAGCGACGTAAATGTAAAATTCATTCAATAAGGAGTTATAAAACTAAAACAATTAGTTATATCAATCCAAGAACGCGTAATGTACGAGTATATTCTTTTTTGAGGATCTTGGGGAACAACAAGACCTCCTCTTGAATAAAATTACAAGCTTTGCCAAAGGTTCTAAATAGTTTTTGTATATACATTAACACAATTGGTCTATAGGCCTAAGTAGATCCCTTGGGATCGGCGGTATTACCTAACCTAACCTAGTGAAAAACAGTGTGAAGTCACCTCATGCAGGATAATTTCAAAAAATAAATTTTAGAGATACCAAAATCACTATCAGAGCGGGAGAGAAGAATTGTCGGGAAGACAGACTCTCTAGTATTGTAAAATTCAAAACTTAAGTACGTGAAGGTAACTCTTTGACATTCAATAGTTATTTGGTGTTTTTCAAGTAATACTCAGACGAACTTTGAGTCCAAAGAATATATTTAAGCGATGAATTATGACAACAGTATGAGAAAGTTCATTCCAATGCAAATGATGAGAACGTACATCGCAAAAATAACCTCAAACATTCACGCTTTTACCTTGATACTCGTATAATAATATATCACGTTATTGTAAATAAATTTTTTTTGAATTGAGCACAAACAAAATATTTATATGAATAATTTTACTATTATATTATATGTATACTTAACCCTTTAATAAGCCACAATAATAAAATTAAGTTTTAATGTCCTTATGTCGTATGGCAAGAGTTCAATTTTTGCTAGAAAAAGATATAGGAGTTACGAAATTTTGAATTCAAGAAGCTAATTTTGGTTGAAATCGTAGATATGGGTAAATGTTGTTTCTACCTTAGCTCCAATAGAGTGAAGGCAGACTTTGAAAAAATGCATAACACTTTAATTATGATTGCAGAACTCAAGTGATCTAAAGAAAGTTTATTACAGACAATAGTGGCTGAATTGAAATAAAGGATAATTTGTAGTAAGAAACTAATTTTAAATAGCTGTGGTTTATGCGTTTACTTTAGAAAAAGTAAAAGGGCATTTGTTAAAAAATAAATAATAAGAAACAGGACAGAACTCAAAACTGGAATGACATATATTAAGCGAACGTTATACTGGATTCATACGAGAGTTTTGTTTCTGATTTTAGCTGTCAAAAACTTTCATATGGCATTGAAAGCAACAACAATTGACAGCTAAAATTACAAACAAAACTCTCGTGTGAATTCGGTATTAGCCTTGTGGCCTTGCTGGAATCCGTGAGTTCATGATTCAAATTTGGCAGAGTTCTATTCTCGATACTTTATTTTTTCTTTTAACTAAACGTAGTAAAGGTACGACTGAGTTGTGAAGATCAGCTCGATATTTCATGTGGAATATTTCCACCAGTTGTACAAGGGTTAACAATCGTGAGCAATACCACAACACAAAACATTTTAGTACTCGTAAGCAACTAGGATAGCACCAAGAAGGCTTGTATGGTATTTAAATATTGTTGTGTGTATATGTGTAATTAACACGGCAATAGGACGTCAGTTACACAGTTTGCTCAACAATTTGCTTAACGTGCAACATGTAGGGTGCAACAGTATGTAAAGTGTAACAGCTACTGATTGAATTGGTTTCTACTGTTGTTCCTAAATCAGCTCTTGCATTGTTTATCGTCCTTTCAAACTCTATGCTGGAGAAACTTTTTTCGTTAGAAAGGCTGCTATATACAAAAATTTACACTTCATTTATCCTTTTTACAAATTTCCACTTAAATTTCCACTCTGTTTAATATCTGCAAGGACTTGCATTTCGAGCAAATGCTGAGGTCCTGTTGTTGATGTCAGTTTGAAAAGGATTTCACTGTTAACAAATTTTTTTGCTCGTACTGTCTTGTTGTTGTAATGCATTAAGTGTGTTTTATGTGTGTTCCGTTTGCCTAAACTAGAGCCCTTGGAACAAGGACAGAATGAAAGCCAAACACAATATCTTGTAGCCAAGGTGGAAAACTATTTTTCGGCAAATTATGCTGCAAATCATTCACATAAATTATTCATCAATTTTAAATTCTGTTCGTTTTTGAGGTTTATGAAGGCTTCATAAGCAAAGGATTTTGTTGGAAAAGCAATGCAAGCGTTTGAACTTTACAGACGTGTTTATTTTTATTTAACCACATCACGTGTTGGAAATAAAAAAAAGGTATTTAAAACATCATCATCAGACATAAAGCATAAAGTTAAAGCAATTTTAAGATTCACTAAGTGTGGATATACCATATTTAGTCATGGAAAATAGCATTATAAAGAAAGTTAGGAAATGTTGGATTTATAAGTTCACTTCATGAAAGACTTTCCGACAATATAAATTAAAGTTCAAAACAATATTTCATAACTTTCTACTCTAAGCTTTGAGTACTAATAGAGATTCGATTAGAATGATAATGATCACCAAAAGTTATGACAGTGGTACCAATAGTAGCGCTTTAGTTATATGGTATATTGTGCTCATAAATCTTAGCAGCATAAATCTTAGTAGTTGTGATCTTAGTAGTTGTAGTATTTATATAAATGTGTTATGTTGAAATAATCAGCAAAATCATTCTGTCACCATCCATAGTGTAATGGCGACTTAACACCAGTCGAGCATTTGACAAAATTTTTACTACAGATCGGCTGGATATAAGTTGGGAAGTTTTGTTTGTTCCGTTGTACATTCACGGGTATACGATTGAGGTCTGTGTTGAGTCAACGATACTGAATGATCAGATGGCAACCATATCGGTATCTTAACAGATAATCAAACAGCAATTAAAGCACTGCTACAATATGCTAGATCAACTAGCAAGAGAAAACAGCGTGGTGTTTTGTTGGGTGTATTGCTACACAGAAATAAATGGCAAAAAGGCCGCAGATAATTTTGCAAGCATGAGCAACTTAATCCTATAAACCTAAGTGGTATTGTATAAGTTGCATCACAACGAGTATCCTGACACATAAATAGTTTGCAGTCGAAAAAAGTCGCTACTGGCATGACTCTCTAGGTAACCTAAGTAAACTTAAAGTGCTATTATCCGTTTAATGGATCACTTGCATCCTTGTTTTTAGTACAATCAATAGGATGATTTTGATGGTTTCTATATCTATAGGTTTGACTAGATTTCAGTGAAAAATAATACCACAATAATAAAATGTATAATAATACTGTTGTTGTCTATTGGGTATTTCTAATGAAATGGACTATAAAACACAATATTGTGGTAATTATTTTATAGTAAGCATGGCGACTACTTTAGATGGTTGCGAGTTAAGTTCACAAAACAGACCAGAGTAATTTCATTTGAAATACAAAAAAAAAAATAAATAACTGAAGATATTACATAAAGATATGTAATGACTCAATCCCATGTGGTATATAGTATTTTGCTTAGATTGAAGATTCAGCACATATTATTTAAGGTTCGTAACATGTCTTCTGTCTACAGAACTTGTATTAAAAGTACCGATTCGCTATTGCATTAATGCCAATTGACTAGGCAAGTTGAGACTAGTTAATTAAGTAATTAATATTAATTTAAGATTAGGAATATTCACAGTTTGATTCTTTTTATTCAAGATTGAAAAAGATATATGTAGTCGTTAAAATAAAACTGGAACCACATTTACATACTAATTTAATTATTTATACTTCAATAGTAATTTTACGAACTATGTAAAATATTACGGCCAAACTGTGTATTTGTTTTTTTTTAATACATGTTTTAATTATCATTGATGCGAAAAGTGATTACTTGCGAAGTGTTTAACCTTTCATTAGTTTTGAATTGTTGACAGTTTTCGACAAGATTTGATTTCAGTTGTTGCTACTTCAAGTGGAGTCCACTGGAGAGAGAGCGATCAGCATCCTCAGCTAAATCTCTTAAAGCCAGCTTTCGCATAACATCGCAAAAGTCATCAACAGTATCTCGTTCTGACATTTGTTGTTCGTTTGAAGACTGAGTTGGCTTTGTAAGAGTGTATTTGCTTCTGGGAATACCAATCTTTTTGTCACCATTAGCGCTTGTACTTGCTTCTGCATTTAGTGTAAGACCACTCGCTTCACCCGCGCAATCAGAGAACGTTTCGTTTTCATCACAACAGTATTTACCGAAGACTAATTTCTCCGCAAACGATGGCGGTAAGGGTGTGCCGCTAATAATGTTAAGTTTGTAAGTTTCCGGTTCATTTTGTTTTCCTTCAGCACCTTTGGGACTAGTTGCAGCAGCTTGTTCGGCTTCACTCTTAATACGACCAATAACACTCGCTGGTATATTCGCTTTCTGCTTTGTGATGAAACTGTGACTTAGATTCCTAGCCGAGGCAGTCAAGGAATGTGCTAGATTATTGCACCTAGGGGCATCTTTTGCACGCTTACATATAATCCATTCGGAAGCATCAATTGCAGCAGTCTTAGACGGTTTACTTTTGGCAGTTAAGAAAGAGAATGCGTGCTGTGAGTTACGTTGTATGTTCATGTAATTACGTATGTTCTTCTCTTTGTCTTCAACTGTTATTTTTTTTGAATGATTGGTTTTGGCAACTGACTCTGTAAGAAATAAAAAAAATTTTGTTCAAAAAAGTTAAAATTTTCTGAAAATATTTGTAATGCATTGCAGTAATAGATAGGATGGCATCTATTTTCTGAATACGGTTAAGATCCTGCCATTAGTTGTGATATGCAGCATCATAAAGTCCTCTTCGCGGATATGTCATAGTACTTTTTGAAGTAGTTGCTCTTTTAATTTAAGGAAATGAGCTTTAACAAAATATCACTCGAAAGTGAAACCGATCGTTCTAGTATAAATATTTAAATTGCCACCAAGTCAAAGAACATTTACATTAACAAGTGCGTTCACTTGTTAACTATTTCTCTCGTGTCTTTAAACAGAGCTGATTGTGCTGAACTTACTTTTGGATCTCTTCATCTTTGTTGAGAGTTTGTTCTCATGCCGAGTTTTCACCAAACTGAAACTAAATGGACCAAGAATTTTCACAAAAGTTTAACTAAATAGACCACAAATTTTTAAGACAAAAAAATTTTTCCAAACAAGGCAAAACTTTAATTCTTACAGAAATCGAAAATATTTTTCTGTAAAAGTTGTTTTCGAAATTTGAATGTCTACTTGATTATATAGAAGTAAATGTCAACTAGATTATAAATATTTCCAAAAATAATTGAACCAATAACAATCAACAGCTTTTAACAAATAAAAACTAATATTAATAACATGCCAAAAAAAGAGTCCACAATGTTCAACATCTTCATCAGTTTTGTAAAAAAAAGAGAATAAAAAAAAAAAATTATTATGAGAGTAGTATAGCGGAATAGAACAGGAAAACCCCTCCACGGTATATACGAAAGCAATAAGTAAAACATTACAAATCGCTTCGTTTTCAAAATTGACACTAAGAAGAGTGTCCAGGCATTTGACAGGGTGTCACATGACGGCCTGATAGTTAAAATGTCAGAAATATAACCAACACGTTGCAGCACGTTGTTTATCTCATCCTGGAATTCTTCCAGAAATAGAAATTAACAACGGGAGAACTAATGTCCTGTTTATATTTCGTAAACACAGGGAGCATCCACCGAGAGTGGGAGTTGGGGACATTGCGACAAATTGTGAGGATAGCATCAAATCACTGGAAATCACGTTTGATAAGCGGTTCACTTGGCACAAACACATACAAGACAAAAGAAGTAGTTGTGCAAAAGCACTGCATTCCTTACGGCCACTTTTCAATCACAATAACCTTAGCGCTAAGAACAGAAAGTTGATTTACAGGTAGATAATAAGACCGGCATTTCACTACGGATGTGTCGAGTATAGCAAAACTGCCAACTCTACTATCCGGAAGCTACAAGTTGCTCACAGTCAGGCTTTCCGAAGACACTTCAAAGTGCCATGGTGCATCTGCACGAATGACATGCCAAGAGACCTTAGATAGGAACCCCTTAAAAAAATAGATAAGTGATAGAGCGCTGAACCTATACGCGAAAACTGACAGACTGTCGTACATAGCACTATTTAAACTCAGAGCAGTCACAAGCCGTACGTGGCGGTATGCTGATCTTAGATCAGTCATCGAATAATCAGTGAAGCTTGTGGAGAATACATTAATTATTCAAAGTGAAGGGAAAAACTTTGTAGAAACGTCGCAGCTAAGAAAGAGTAAAAGTGCCCAGTTGCACTAACTCGGAAAAACCTCAACATAAGATAAATCTATATAATTGATTTATGTTCATGACACATATTCGATATCAAAGTATTCAAAATAAATAATACTTAAATAATAATAATAAAGTCCAAGACGTATATAGAGATTTCTTCAGTAAGAGATGTGTGATTTGTGTTATTATATCAGAATATTTGCAAAAAGCATCAGGAATTGATGTTTGTAATCAGTGCAGGTGAAACCACTTCATATTCAATGATTGAATAGCTTTAATGCGAGATATTGTAACTAGGGTAGAAAGTAAGTCATCTGAAATGAATTGACCACATCGCGTCATCAATTCTATGTAGTTTGTAATATTATATTATATCTTGTTGTAGGTCACCATTTGCAACAAATTAAACATCAAAAAACTAATTTGTGAAAAAAATAACCAATTTTAAATTCCAAGAGTACATTGTATGTTTCATGTAATTATGTTGCCCAAAATATTTATTGTTTGCTTGTACGATAAATAAAACGACAACATTGGCACGGTTCACTCTTGTATCCAACTGAAGTACGAAATTCGGGACGGGATACTAACCCACCCAGTATGGTTTTCGCATCAAAACGGAATGATTTATTATTACACCATTAAAGGAAACTGTAACACAAATTTTCCGTTAAAACGTGGTAATACCGTTCATAATTGGATGAGTAGTGTGAGCGCCAAATTTAAATTAGTTGACAAATAAAGTACGTTCCATCGCAGTAAGTTCATATAATCACTTTTGGTTTAGCGACAACTATTCCTTCCACAAACCTTTCAACGTTTATTTGCGTCAGTTTTAACTGGACACGTTGGATTGGTGCCTCTCAAGACAAGACATTGTTCAACACATTGTGGACATTTACAACCGTCAGCATGACAAGCATGCCACAGCAGCAATTCTAACGTCCACATGCTGAAAAATAGCTTAACAACAAATAGCACCGGAGAAATGTCCTTCCTAGAAACCAAAAACGAAGGTATATTCAATTGCAACACATACACTTCAAGCAAGCGTGTGCTTGACGTCATTTGCGTTTACTGCTACATAAGGCAATTGCTCACAAAAGTCTTGATATAAATGAATGGGTGGCGGATTTTGTATTATCCATATAAGCACACATCAGATCATATTTAACATAACTCTAATGCGCTTACAGTACTTACTAGGAGGAGGAGTACTGTATGCTAGAATGTTTCATAGCTAGAGTAATCAGAACGTCTTTTTATTAAAGTAAGACTGATAAATACTTAAGGGACCTAAAATGCAAGGATTTCTTTTATATAACACGCACCTTACGTTTTGTCATATATAGGCAACTATTTCGCAGTTGGAATCGTCACATCACTAGACTTTCTGTTTAGAATGCAATTGTTTATCCTGCGTGTTGGTATTTAAAATGTGTGAAATCCCTATTAATTCCAAACATATCGATCTTAATATATCAATCAGGACATAATCAATGTACTGAAAATTATAATGCAAATACCAATATATCCTCTCGGTGAGATCTATTGTCCTTTGTGATGCCCTGAAAGTTCCCAGGTGATGGGAAAACACACTTATTGTTGTTTTCATCATAGCTCTATGTGTTGTCCTTGTTCCTCCATTCAGTCCTACCGACGAAATTAAACTCATTTGATAAGCTACCTTCATTAGCACTGACAGGCTAGTTACGAAACAGTCCATGATAAACATAGAGAAAGTGTTAAGGAGTTTCACCTTTTCTTTATCATAGCAACTTTGACGTAGTCAGCTTGATAGACTAAGTTACCCTCAAATCATCGGTGTAACACTCAAAAGCATCTGCAACTTTTTCTTAAGCATATGGGACTACAGGTTAATCAAGAGTTCTTTCATTCATTTTCCATCTAATCTATGACATGGCGCTGAAATCATCTCATGACCTCGACGTCACGAGTTATTACCGCCTATGCTGGGTAAAAGCTGAAGCAGAAAAAGGTCGTAGTGTACACCAATCAAGACTACAAATAAATAGTAGAATAATGGACACTCCGACCACATAACAGCACAATTTAGCCGCGAATAGCCCAGTAATGCAAACCACTGGGAAGAAACACTGCGAAAAGCCAACATATAAGTGGCAAATCGTTTCTAAGAGGAAATTCCGCCAAAGAAAGGAACGGAAGGGAAAACTCAAGGACCAAGCGCAGAGTGGCTAAAAAGAAACCTGAAACAGTACTCATAAAGGCAGAAGTTATGCCGATATCGTTAAAAAGCAACATTAAATTAGAGAAAACTGAAATTGCGATCCAATCCATTCACAAGACTACTGCTGGTGCTATGTTACCTGAAGTCGCAAAGGGTGAAAAGAAAGCGGAGTTTTACGAGTCCATAAAAAAAACTCTGAAAGAAATAGCGACGGTAAAAGTCCTATGACTGCGATTGACATCCGCGACTTATATTGTCTAAGCAATGAAGAGGAGGTTATAACCGCTTTCTGTTTAACAATCCAAAGTCCAACAGCTACGATGAGGGTAACGTCACCAAAGTGAACTGTAGAGAACAATGCCGCGTTTTCATTAAAATGGTAATTACTGACGTAAAGAGCATATTGGAAAATCCCCGCATAAAAGGATACTAGACAATATGCCGTGTAAAGTTACGAGCCGATGTGAAACGATGTTGTGTTTTGGTGTCGGCCATGTACAAGCAAATTGCACTGGTCCAGGCAGAAAATGACAAGGATTGTGTATACGATGCGGTGAGAAAGGGTGCAAGTTCAACGAATGCACGAAACCGCCAAAATGCTGTCTATGCCTAAATGGAGACCTTACAGCAATAAAAAACATTTCTGGATCAACTAAATGCTCGACACACAAGAAAACGGGATCTTGATGAAAGTACTTTAAGCAAATATGTGAAGAAATAAAGTAGCTGACGCTCTCTGGCGCAAATAGTTATAAAACAGAGAATCGATCTAGTACTAATAAGTGAACAATTGAATATAAAATTTTACAGCTCGATGGTTCTTTCATCGTAGGAGGTGACTTTAACTCCAGGGCAATAGAATGGGGTATGGGAACTACAAACTCAAGGGGAAGACGAGTATTAGAAATTGCTGCCAGGCTAGGTCTTATAGTCGCAAAAATGGATTTGAAAAGAAGGATGTCAAAGCACTATTCTAGATAACACATTTACAGTCAGAGTCTTAGAGGACTATACAGAAAGTGACCACTAATACCTTTCGTATTGTATACAGATCGAGACAATTTCGGGTAATGATCGATTCGGGTAATGAATGATTCTTACACATGTGGCAAACGCCGATGAAGTGGTGACACATACAATGATAAGAATTACACAGGCATGTGCGATATCAATGCCGAAAACTACCCAAAAGAGGTAGAGAGGGCGCTTACTGGTGGACAGAAGAAATAAGCCAACTGCGAAAAGTATGTCTACACACACGAAGACGCTACACGAGAGTTAGATGAAATGGAACCAGTGAGGCAGAAAGTCGAGAATTTACCCAAGCCAAGAAGTATTTAAAAAAGCGAGTAAACAAAGAAGTTGGGAGGAATTTCGAAATGATATGAATCACGATCCATGGGGCCTTGGATACCAAATAGTTATGAAGAAACTAGGAGTTAAATCAGCAGTAAGTGATCTAGAAGAAAGGAACGAAATTGTTAATACCCTGTTTCCAAACAACAATATCAGAAGTGACGAAAACGTCGCGCAAGTTCACCCGGAGAACATTGAAAACTTCACGGAAAGAGACCTAACAATCACAGCTAAAGAACTACAAAATAATAAAGTACTGGACCAGATGGAGTGCCAAACGAAGTTTTAAAAATAATTGCGGAAAATAAACCTTAATTATTACTGACAATGTATAATACATGTTTTAA